CCCTCTCCCCCCTCCCTCCCTACCCTTCTCTCTAAAAAAATCAATGGAAAAAAATCCTTGGGTGAGAATTAATATGAAAAAGACAGAGGGGTGCGGTCTGGGGCCATTCTCTGGGCTGCTGGGCAGTCCCTTGCATGCCCTATTTAGCAAAATGACAGCCTTTTATTAAGTAGTTAGGAGTGGGGTGGGATTTAGGGGTGACAGTGTGTTAGAGGTGGTCGTCATGGAATAAAGTTGGCTCCGGTGGGTTAAATACCTTTCCATTTTGGATTTTAGTTGCTTTGAATGAGGTGCTTTTTTATTTTTTTATTTTTTTGAGTTGATATTTAGAGGGGAAGGGAGAGGGAGAGAAAGTGTGAAACATGGATCGGCTGCCTCTTGCACACCCCCTACCGGGGATCGAGTCCAAAAGCTGGGCATGGGCCCTGATCGGAATCGAATTGGCGACCTTTCAGTACAGAGGATGATTCCCAACCCGCTGAGCCACACCGGCCAGGACCGAGTGAGCTTCTGATTGATCTTTTCCTGCAGGTAATTAAATGCCCAGACACACCCACTTCCTTAGTGCTCTGTGCCTTCCTCCCAGAATGCTGATCTAACTGTGGCTGACCTTTCTGTCGCGCCCTTGGCCATTTGGTCAGGTCCACGCGGGCAACGTGGACAGCAGGGCGCGTGAGGCAGCTTTGAGCAGCAGAAGGACCTTCCCTTGGGCTCCACTGGAGCTAGAGGAAATGTCAGATTATGACAAATGGGCCCAGAAGTGGGGAAAACTGTGGCCACTTGTTCTGCAAAGCGGAGAGGCCATGGAGCTTCCAGAGCAGGCGGCCCTCTCGGCCCAGAGTGGCCATGAGCTGCAGGGAGAGCGTGACGCGGTCCCGTCAGCAGTAGGACTTCCCTGGGGCTCCAAGGGGATTGCAGAACCTTGTTGACAGTTTTCTTCAAATTGGCCAGTCGTCGGGCTTAAGTGTCCATTTCCTGCTGGGTGTTTGGAAAGGAGGGTCTTTGGCAAGGACGCCGGAGTTACCAACCCCGTGGGCCTAGTTGCACGTGGAGACGGGTGTTGGCTGCGCTCTGGGGTGGGCTGTGCCCACCAACAGGTCCGGCCACCGAACTGAGTGGGTCTTAGATGAGCTCATCTCCAGCTGGTGCCTGTGGCTGGGATGAGCACTGGATTTGGTCACAGATCCTTGATCCTGTGGGTGTGGGATAGAACGGGCACCCACCTGGACCTGCCACGTCTCTCAAAGACTTGCTTTCATGTGGATGTTCTTAAAAATGGACTCCACACACGTGTGAAGCCACTGGCCTGGGCTGGCATGACACCCTGACCGCTTCAGCGCTTACTCAAGTGCCACCACGGGCACTCAGCACCCTCTGCACCCAGAGATCCTGGCCCTGGCCCTCTTGTTAGACGAGGCTCGCTCTCCAAAAAGCGTGCATCTGCAGGTGGGTGTGCAGGAAACGTGGCCCCAACCCACAGGACCAGGTCTCTCCATCCAGAAAAAGTCACCTTATAAATTCAGCCATCATCTGTCATCTCAGTGTTACTGTGGCACCAACTGGTCTGTTTGACATAGGTCATTATAAAGAAAATTTTAGGCAGAGCTCTGAGCGGGACATCTTGTACAAGGGCCCTTGGTCTGCCCACGAAGAACAGAGCAGTCCTTCTGGGTCTTTTCCTCAGTACAACCCCATGATTCAAATCAGAGCCCTCTGCTGAATCAGACCATGTCTGCCCTGCCAGAGTGGCTCAGCTGGCTGAGTGTTGTCCTGTGCACCGAAAGGTTGCTGGTTCCATTCCCAGTTTGGGCACATACAGGAGGCAACCCATCAATGTTTCTCTCTTCCATCGATTTTCCTTCTCTCTCTCTCTCTCAAACCATGTCTCCAGTGGCATCCGGTTGGCCTGAACACATCCTTCTCGGCCCCCCTTTGAAGGGACATTCCAAAAGAGGGGTTCCAGGCCTCGTGTGAGACCCACCTGCCAGGCTCTGGCTGCCGGGCTGACACCTTTCCTTCCCTTGCAGGGCCGCCAGGGCTTGGGGTCCATTTTCGTCTGGGCCTCCGGGAACGGCGGGAGAGAGGGGGACCACTGCTCCTGCGATGGCTACACCAACAGCATCTACACCATCTCCGTGAGCAGCACCACCGAGAACGGCTACAAGCCCTGGTACCTGGAGGAGTGCGCGTCCACCCTGGCCACCACCTACAGCAGCGGGGCCTTCTACGAGCGGAAAATTGTGAGTGCCCCTGGCACGGTGGCCGGCTCGGGATGGGGGCCTCAGCCCTCTGGGGACGAGTCCCTTTCCCTCTTAACAAAAAGACGAGCCAGGTCCGGGCCAGCCTGTGCCAGGTCCCCGCACCACCCTCACCCACCGGCGAACTAGTTGTGCCTCCGAGTAAACCCCAGTCCCTTGGCAGCCTTCCTCAGGCCCTGCCTCGCTAATTTGTGCGCAGGATGCCAATTAAAACCCTCCCTGGCTTTAGAGATCTAAAAATATCCCTTAAGAAATGAGGGACATTCTCACCACGATGTCTCCTTTTAGCTTTCTCAAATTCTGCGGTCACCCGCTTGGGATCCAGCTGCCCGGTTCAGTTCCATCGTGCAAAACTGGGCAAGAGAGAGCCTCGGTTTTATGTTGAAAGATTGTGGAAATCCAGCCGGTCCCCTGGGCCTTGCGTTCCAAACAAAAGGACTTTTTCTGGACACTGGGCGAGCAGTGGTTTCTGCCCGCCACGCTCACATCTACCAACATAAGTGCGATCTGTCTTTGACGAAATAATTGCTTCCCTTTGATACAGAGACAGGATTTGTGCTTCCTCCGCTCCTACGCGCTTTTGTGCCTCAAAAAGAAAGAACAGGGGTGGGTGTTTGGTTGAAATGAATGCAAAATGCAATGCACAGGCATTACGATGGGTTTTGGATGGTGGGAAAAGGAGACTACGGGGCCAGCCAGACGTGGCTTCATCGTAAAGCTGGCTCGCGTCTCTTGGTCCCTCCTGCTGCTCACCGCATCTTGAGAAATGATCTGGGCATTTACTTTTATGTGTTTCGGTGGGACATGCAGGCTGCCTGTGTCCCCTTTGCTCTGCACCGGCGGACAGGTCGCCCCGATCGCGGCCACCAGCCTGGCAGCGGCTGGGCCGGACCGCAAAGGTATTAATTTAAGTTTTGGGGTTTTTTTCCGCTGGAGCACGCACCCCGGGGACGGGCGGCCAGGGTCCTGGATGGCGCGTCCTGTTCACTTAGGACCTGGGCTCTGAGCCGACTGGCTGCAGCCTCATTAAACAGACGCCTGTCCTGGAACCTGCTGGAGGGAGGGGAGCGTGGGGCCTGTGTCGCTGGACACTTTGTACCGGGGCCCAGGGGACAGTGCTTCCCATCCTGGGAGCAGGGCTTGCAGCTTCCTTTGCTTAATTAATTAGGCTGCGTGTGGGGGTTTGTACGTGTGCATGCGTGTGTGCACGCCTTCGCTAGAAAATGCCCTTTTTTTAAAAGAAAATTTCATCTCTGAGCAATAATATATGGGTAAGAAGAGTGTAGTTGGAACCGGGTACAGAGCAAACACACTCAGCTGTACTCACTGTCCCAGGACTCTTTTCTGGAAATACAGATGGTGGGGGTTTTTGTTTCATTGACACTCGCCCAAGGATATTTTTTCCATTGAGTTTTAGAGAGAGTGGAAGGGAGGGAGGGAGAGAGAAAGAGAGGGAGAGAGAAAGACCCATCCGTTGGTTGGTTGCCTCCAGGACGCACCCCAACCAGGGCCGGGGATCAAACCTGCAACCCACGTACCTGCAGTTGACCGGGCTGGGCCGATGCTCCAACCGCTGAGCCACACCAGCCCAGGATGGGTGGCTTTTTTTGTCTTGTTTTGTTTCAGTTCAATTCGGGCTGAGTCTTTGCTCTGAGTCCCCTTAGAGATCCTGCCAGGGGAGGAGCAGCCATTCAGGACGGTTGGCCGCGTTCAGGCAGGTGTCTGATGGAAGTCACAGCTCTGTCCCCTGGGAGCCCTCCCTTCCTCACTGTTCAGTGGATACCAAGCAGAGTTCTCCTGAAGCAAGGCATTGTCTGGTGTGGGGCCTGGCTCTCTTTTTTTTTTTTTTTTTNTTGATTTCAGAGAGAGAAAGGGAGGGGGAGAGAGAGAGAAACATCAATGAGAGTCACGGCTCAGCTGCCTCCTGCACACCCCCGACCGGGGATTGAGCCCGCAGCCTGGGCATCCTAGGCCGGCGCTCAACCGCTGAGCAGCACAGGCCGGGCACGGGGCCTGGCTCTTGATAAAAGGAGTGACACCTGCCGTGAGCATCTCTCACTTGTTCATTCCTCGGCCTTTCCATTCATCCTCTAAACATGAGCCGTGTTCCACGTGCGACATTCAGTCTCAGGAGAGGGGCTGTGCCTCTCGGCTCAGCCATCTGCTCCTGGGCCCCACCTGCTCTTGGGAGATTGGCCTCCTGCCCAGACACCCCCAGTCTCCCGCCCTGGGCCCCACTTTCTGAGTACAGGTATGTGCCAGGGTGCAGCCGTGACTTCCCCAGAAGCCCTGGGAAGGACATGTCACTATGCGCACCTGCGGATGAAGATCCCGGGGTCCGAGAGGCTGCAGCCCCATCCCTGCCCTCTTCTCCTCAGCTGCCCTCCCCAAGATCAAGGTGCCCTGGCCTGCTGAGCAGGGAGGAAGGAGGAAGCTGGTCCTTGCTGGCCTTCCTGCCCAGTCTTTGTGTGTGTGACAGAGAGAGAGAGAGAGAGAGATTTAGGCTGGGCCCCCTCACTGGGATTGTCGGCCCAGCTGGAATGGGAGGAAGATGCTCTGTCTGGAAGAGGGTCTGGAATTGCTGTCACTGGGGAAATTCGTTGTCAGGGGTCACGCAGATCGGCTACTGGAGCCTTGCGCTGGGCGGTGCGTTAGTTTCCTGCTACTGTGCTAACGCGTTATGCCAAACTTAACAGCTCACAAGAGCCCAGATTTATCATCTCGCAGCTCTGCAGCCAGAGCTCGCTGGGTCTCCGTGCTCAGGCTCCCGGGGCCGCGATCCAGGTGTTAGCCGGGCTGCGTTCCATCGCGAGGCCCCGGGGAAGACTGTTCCTGGCTATTCAGGTTGTTGGCAGAATTCAGTTCCTTGTGGTTATAGGACTGAGCTTCCATTTCCTTGCGGGCCGCCCGCCGCGGCAGTTCTCAGCTCGCACGGGCCACCCACATCCCTCGCCTTGTGTCTCCCACCTCCCTCTTCAAAGCCGGCAGTGGTGGCTCATCTCTTAGGCCTACGGCCGCCTGTTCCGACCGCGAAGGGCCCTGTGATTCCATTGCACCCCCCATCCGGATAGTCCAGGGTATGTTCTCTGATGGAAGGCTGGTCTAGTGACCTTCGTTCCATTTGCATAGTGAACAGAGGTGACACCAGGTGACAACACCCGTCCAGCACAGCAGGTTTCGCACAGCTGAAGCCGCACGTGCTGATCGGGTGGCGGCTGCTTGTCCACATCAGCGAGGTGCAGGATCACCCAGCCTGGAGCCTGCAGCTGGCCCCTCAGCCTGCATAGCCAGTGCCGCCTTCCCGGAGCGAACAGCCGGCTTCGTGCTCTCACATCAGGGGCCTCTGAGGCCCAGAGAGCTCCAGGGGTATCTGCTGCTGTAGCTGGAACTCAGTGCTTTGGGACATTGTCAGCTACCCCACGAGGACATCCCAAGGCCTAGTGATCTGTGACCTTCTCGCTAAAGGCAGAAGTGCTCTCTGGGCCACCCGGTCACCTCCCAGTGTCTCCAGCTGCTCTGATGTCGGGCGGTGACTGGGGCGTATTACTGGGGACCCCGGCAGGTGGGAGCTCTGCAGGGAGGGCTCCTCTTTGCTTCATTGTCTTCCTTTCGCGTCTCAGCACGCACGCCGCCTTCCCTCGGCCTCGGCCCCTGTCCTCACCTGTGATCCCACAGTGGTTCCATTTTTTACACGTGAAAGTGAAGCAGATTAGCAGGGAGACCAGACACGTGGGAACCTTGGTTGCCGAGATGTGTCAGGCGGTGCCTTCTCCATCCCGGGGACCCAGGATCGCACATGCACAGGACCAGGGTCTTGAGCGTCCCCTGAGTTCTCCCAAGAGCTGACCTCACCTCTTGCCGCCCTCCCCCAGGTGACCACGGATCTGCGTCAGCGCTGTACTGATGGCCACACGGGGACCTCGGTGTCGGCCCCTATGGTGGCGGGGATCATCGCCTTGGCTTTGGAAGCAAAGTAAGTTCCCACTTGCTTTCCCTTCTGTTTCTTTTCTTTTTTAAGTTTTTATTGCACTAAAATACACATAGCATAAAATTCATCGTTTTAATCATTTTTAAGTGTAAGTTAGTTACTTCATTAAGTACATTCCTGCCGTTGAGTCACCGCCACCACCGTCCAGCTCCAGAGCTTTTCCATCCGCCCAGACTGAAGCCCTGCCCCCGTTGGGCAGCTCCTGGCTCAGTCAGCTCGGCTGCCCCAACGAAACAGCCCAGACTGGGGGCTGAAACGGCAGAAGTCTATTTCCCACAGCTCTGGAGGCCAGAAGGCCGAGACCAAGGTGTCAGCAGGGCTGGTGTCTCCTGAGACCTCTGTCTTTGGGGGATAAATGGCTGCCCCTCCCCGTCTCTCACGTGGGCCTCCCTCTGTGTGTCCATAATCTCTAGAAGGACACCAGTCGTATTGGATCAGGGCTCATCCTAATGATCCCACTTAAAGTCCCATCTGCAAACACAGTCACATTCTGAGGTCCTGGGGGTTAGGGCTTCAACATATTAATTGGGGTGGGAAGCAAAATTTAACCCGTAACACTCCCCATGCCCCTGCACCAGCCCTGACACCCATCATTGTGTGTTCTGTCTCTGTGGCTCTGACCCCTGTAGGCGCCTCGTGTGGGTGCAGCCAGACAGCATTGTCCACCCATGTCTGGCTTTTTTCACGGAGCAGTGTCCTCCAGGCTCATCCGTACTGAAGCAGGTGTCAGGATCTGTCTCTTTTTTTAAGGCCATCCCTAAGGGGCATGAAGTGGTTCTTTCCACTTTCCTTTTTTTAATTGATTTTAGAGAGAGGAAGGGAGAGAGAGAGAGAGAGAGAGAGAAACGTCGATGTGAGAGAGACACATAGATCGATTGCCTCCGGTACATGCCCCAACCGGGGATTGGACCTGCAACCTAAGTATGTGCCCTGACCAGGANTCCATTGCCTCCTGTACACGCCCCAACCGGGGATTGGACCTGCAACCTAAGTATGTGCCCTGACCAGGAATCGAACCCGCCACCTTTTGGTGTATGGGATGACACTCCAACCAACCGATCCACCCAGCCAGGACTCCCCTTTTCTTTTTTAAGACCTTTGTAGGACCATAGGCGGCAGGGTGGGCCCGCCCCTAACCCCCCGTCCCAGTCTGTATCACCCAGCAAGATCACACTGCCAGCTGCCGCCACCACCCTTTATAAACTTAGTTCATAAACTGACAATACAGAGTCGATGCTTTACCTGTCCTAAGGCAAAGAAAAATCCATAGTTATCAGTATGCAGATGGGTCAGTAAGAAAGAGTTTTCGGCGACGCAATCGTTGTGTCCAGAGCAAATTTTAGTTTATGCATCAAAACCGCTCCGGAAGCAGTCATTTGTTGCAGATAAGATTTTAAATGATTTGAAAATCATGTTTTGAGTTGCTTAAATCCATTATTATGTCTGTTCTTTGCATGCTGATTTGCATGAGACAAAAGAGCATAAAGCTCGAATACCACCAACTTAACAAAGGAACGGCTGAACATTTTTGATTTTTAGGCCAAAGCATTAGCTCCCGTGGCCTAAGGCTCTGTTATAAAACTCTAAGTAATTAGTTAAGCGTGTGGAAAGTTGCTTTCACATACTTAGCAATCCATTGTTTTTTATTTTCTTCCATTCCTTATTGGAAACATGCAAGGAATTTGGTTCACCGAAACTAAATAGAAAACAAACTGTGTTTCGTGCCAGATTGTCCCGTTAAACTTGACCCGTGGACCCAAGAAGCTCTGACAGTCGTGCTCCTCCTCACTTAGCGCATCCTCAGAAGTCTGCGGGCAACAAATCCAGCAAACTTCATGGAAAACACCAGCTTAGAGCATTTAAACGTATAGGGCTGGTCAAGGAAGGAGCAGGTTTAAGCAGGGACCCGCAGGCCTGAGCTGACATTTGGAGACTGGGGCAACCCAGGCGTCCCGATGGCAGGCCCACTGACCACGTGGGCAGCATTGGGACTTGCCATCAATCTCTTCTTCATTGAAAAACATTTTCAACATTATTTTCCAGGCAAACTATATTACCCGAGTCATAAATAAAATGGATTTGCTCATCCCGAGCTGGGTTCTAAGATTCTCCCTCCCTGGACCCCTTCTGTCGGAAACCCTGAAGCCCAGGCTCCCCGGCTGGACTCCCAGGACTGGCTTGAGCCGTCCTTGAGATGGCCCTGCTGACATGAGCAGTAACCTGCTAGGTCACACAGGCAACAAGGGGACAGCTGTGCCCTATCTGGACTCCTAAGCCTGTGCGTGTCCACTTCCTCAGAATGCAAGGCCTTGGGCCACTCGGGCCGTCAGAATCCTCCTCTAACAGTGAGGTTGGCTATGGGCCCCCAGGAGTAGCAGTGGGTAAGGGGAGGGGAGGAGAGCAAATCAGCCTGTGCCCAGCAAAGGTTTGGAAAGTGGACATATGGACCTGGTTGGGATGTGGCAGCCGGGAAGCCACTGACCAGCACAGTGGAAGGAACATGTTGGGGAAATCAGGGGAGGCCAGGGCTTCCACAAGCCCAGACTCGAGCTGGCTCCTGGCGCCCCAGCTCTGAGTGCACCTGTGCAGCCAACATTATTGACCTGTGCGGGCTACAGCGACATGCCCCTTGTGTCACTGCAGCAACCAGTTGACCTGGAGAGACGTGCAGCACCTGCTGGTGAAGACGTCCAGGCCGGCCCACCTGAAAGCGAATGACTGGAAAGTCAACGGCGCTGGTCACAAAGGTGCGGGGCTCCCGGTCCGCGGGGCGATGGCTGGTCACCCGTCCTGGTGGGCCCTCTAGGGACCTCCCGGAATCCATATAAGGGGTGACATGAACTCTCAAAAAGAATCGCAGAGAACACTAATTGTGTGTCACAGGAATGAAAGTATATGTCCAGCGGTTTAAGAAAAGTATCCTGGAACCTCAAACCAAGGTCACTGGAGTTCAGGGCGCCCTAAACGTCACAACTTTTGCCACATCCAGGGGCCACCTGTACCAGTACTGACTCAATAGGTGCCTTTCAATTGACTTGCCTCTTTTTTTTTAAACACGAAGAAGCGCATTTGAAAAGAAGCTTTACTACCTCTAGTTAATGGGCTTGATATGTAGTCATACTTTTTCTAATGCACATTAAAGCAAATCCATAATAATTATGATTTTAAAAATGCTTGTTTGCATCTGGCATCTTTAGCCCTGAGTAGCTCTATGATTTTGAAACTGGCCCTCAGTCTCCTCATCTGGACAGTGAGGACATTGAGATAGCTGTGTAAGTTACTTTCTAACTGTGAAACTTCTGCCGGCAAGCCCCCACGCTGTAAAAGTAAGTCACAGAGCAGCGAGGTCTCTGCCCCCACAACAGCCTGGTACAGACCCAGGTGCCATGAAATCAACCCATGGTCAGGGCTCCTAATGCAGATTTACGGAGCCTCCGGAGCAGGTCGTTACAGGTCTACGTTACCGGCTTTGTTTCTCTGGCTTCTTCCCAGAGGTACTTGAACCAGATTCGCATTCAGCCACGGTGTGTTAGGGAGGATGGGTTGGGTTGGTTTTTTTTCTTGTTTTTCCCTCCCCTTTTCTGAAGCTCAAGTCCAATTATTTCAACACCAAGCCTGATACCACTACCTGTAAAATATAGGTCAAGCCTTGTGACCAGGAGCTCCAAGGGACATTCCTTTGCATAAGGAGGCCATTGTTACGCCTCACGCACCTTTGTTTTACAGGAATGCCGGCGGCAGGCTGTGCTGTAACAAGAGCTGACCTACATTTCGATTTGGGCCTAATTAAATAGGAAAATAGATTGTATCTGCCTCCCCACCGTGCCTCTTAAATTAAACTTTGAAACTCTCTCACACCAGCCAAGTTCAACATTGGACCGGGCCAGTTCACAGGCACTCGTGGCCTGTGCCGCTGTCCCCAGATGCCCTGGAGTTCGGCAGGGGGAGTCAATGGCCAAAGAGAGGAAACGAGGTCAACCACGGGGGTCTCAGGTTTTTCCCCCTCTGGTGTAAGATGCAGGGAGTGCAGATGCTGACATGTCCCTTTAAGGCACAGAAACCTGCCCTCATCTCCCCCAAAAGAAAGTTCTAGGCCTTCTACCAGTACGGGACAGTCCCTGGCCAGCTCTCCTGGCCCGAAGGAGTGACACTTAGATTGAGGAGCGCAGAGGGACTTGGGAGCCGTCCTCAGAAGGGTTTGTCCTGCCGCCTGGGGCTCTCGGGAGATGGTCCGGGTCCTTCCAGCCCTGAGTGACACAGGTGGCGTGTCCCAGAACCGTGGAAGCCGTGGGTCAGATGTGCGCTCCGTGTGCGGGAGCCGGGGGCGGGGGCGCCGGGTCTGAAGGCCCTGTCTTTCCAGTTAGCCATCTGTATGGCTTTGGCTTGGTGGATGCAGAAGCCCTCGTCCTGGAGGCAAAGAAGTGGACAGCCGTCCCCTCGCAGCACACGTGTGTCGCCGTCACCGACAAGAGGCCCAGGTGAGGCTGGGCCCCGGCTCGGCATGGCTTTTCGGGATTTGCCCTTGACCTTGACTCTGCTGTCAGGTGTTTCGGAGCAGGTGTCCACGCCCGCGCTCCCGTGCACATCGGCGGGGACACGCACTTTCTCACGGAGTGTGAAGCTGGAGAAAGAATCGTTTCTTTTTTTTTTTTTTTTTAATCTTCACCTGAGGATATTTTTTCCATTAACTTTTAGAGAGAGTGGAAGGGGGGAGGGAGGGAGAGAGAGAAACATCGATGTGAGAGACACATCGATTGGTTGCCTCCCGCACGCACCCCAACCAAAACTGGGGCCAGGGATCGAACCTGCAGCCCAGGTACGTGTCCTTGACCAGAATCCGATCTGAGACCCTTCCGTGCCCAGGCCGACACACTAACCACTGAGCCACACCAGCCAGGGCAAGAATCATGTCTTAACCATGACTGCATGGAGGCCGTTTGCCGTCAATTGTGGTTCCCCCTTTAGTAGCAAATTCTCTGTTACAGGGAGTCAGTCCGTCAGCCCAAATCCTCAGGCTTTTATTGGAAATTCTTACCCATAGTATTCATCTAGCTGACCTGACCGGGGATCTGTCCTGCCCAGTGGGGTGTAATAACAATGAGTGTCTTCTCTGTCGTCACCCACCAAGGGCTGGAGCCATTGCCCCCGCCCAGCCCTACCTGCCCTGAGAGCACCCGGTCTGACTCCATCAGCCAGGGGCCGGGGTGATAGCCTCTGTCCCTTCCCTCTGTCCCTGCAGGAGAGGGGTTACTGGGTCACTGGGTCCTGCCCCAGGGTTTCAGCGCCAGGATTTTTTTTTACAGGCCTCGAGCAGGGTGCCTGCAGTGAGACCCTGGCTCCTTTTTTTCTTTCATGGTTAGGACCCCCAGCTTTGCCCTTTGTGTGAAGTTGCTCTACATCAGTGACACTTGTTGACTGCAATTTTTATTTTTTAAAAATCGGCTGTAAAGTGAATCAGAAAGCAAGAGCCCTGCCCCATTAGGAGAGGAACTCAGCCTTTTGAAGGAGACCAAGGCTTCTCTAGTCTCAGTTCCTGATAAAGAGCAGAGTACATTTTCTCCTAGCTGTAACTTTATTACCCCTGGGAAACGTGTGTTTGGAAAAAGAGGAGATGGAGTGATGAAAAGCGACCTTTGCTTTATCAGTAAGTCTAGATCCCTTCGTCCAATGCCTCTACCTCTTATAATAGGATCTTTTGCTAGAAAATGCTGAGAAAAGCGCTTCTCGCTGGTGCCTGGCACATGGGAGGAATTCAGAAAGGCTGTGTTGGGTGAATAGCCATGGGAGAAGCTTTTGAAATATTACATTTCCAACCTGCTGCTAACTCTAAGGCCTGGCAGGCTGGCTAGCAAGCAGGCAAGTCTCAGTCTGGGATTTTTAAGGCATTCTCTCCAGGGAGCCATAGACTTGTCAAATTCGGAAGAAAGTGGGGGGTTCTCGGGGATGAACAAGGCCTTTTGCTTTGTTTTGTTTGGTTGGTTGGGAAATGTGTGGGATGTGGGTGATCACAGTCCAGGTGAGGGGGTGCTGGGCTCCCAGGAGCTGGGCCGCCCCGAGGGGCTGTGTCTGCCGAGCTGGCCGTGACCCTCCTGCCCGTCACCCGTCGGGGTGGCTCCTGAATGGAGTCTTTTTCTCCTGCCAGAAATAGTTCTAAGATGGTAGAGTGCTGCCTGGGTGGCAAAGGGTTGTTTTTATTTTAATTTTATTTTATTTTTAAATTTTTTTATTGATTTTTAGAGAGAGAGGAAGGGAGAAAGAGAGAGAAACATTGATGTGAGAGAGAAACATTAATCGGTTGCCTCCCATAGACCGGGGATCGAACCTGCAACCTGGGTATGTGCTCTGACCAGGAATTGCACCCGCTACCCTTCGGTGCATGGGACTGGAACCCTCCAGAACTCTCCAGAGCTTTCTCTCCTGCTCCGCATCTGCCACAGCGGGGCCTGCTGACCAGTAAAGCAGACAGTAAAATCTGGGAGCAGGCAGTGAAAGAGGTCAGCCTCTAAATCAATTTATGATGCGTACAAATCATGTTTTCAAATGTTTACGGTCTCCGAGGGAATTGCATCACTGTGTGTAACTGTTTTTGAGTGTTTCTTATGACTCAGGCCCGGCAGAGCCAAGCGATGTAATTCCTTGGAGACGCTGAACCTCAGCTCCCAGCCTCCCCTCCCGAGGAAAGTTGGACATCACGGGAAAAGCGCTACTATAACAGACCGAGTGCTGGCCACTGGGTGGCCCCAGGACCTTTCTTCAGATAACAAAGTCCTCGGGGCATCCGTGGTGGGCCCGGGCAGGCAGGGTGGCCCAGCCCAGATGCGGGCACAGCATGGGGGGCAGGCTCGGGGCTTGGCCCCAGGTCCCATCCCATGTGCTGAGACTGTCCATTCCCATCGGAGGGCAGGAGAGGGAGGGGACCCTGTCTTGATGCGGATAGTCGGGAGCGAACCAGCTTCTGGTCAGCCCCTGGGACCCTGGTCCTGGCCCGATGGCATCAACCAGGCAGTTAGCACAAGGGGCCAGTTCTGGCTCCAGGAGCGTGGCGGCTCCTCTTTCCCGGCATCTTGGACACAAGTGAGGGACAGTGAGGCACAGAGGTGGACGCATGGGCTCTGAGGCCTTCAGTCCCAGCTTTGCTTCTCAGTAGCTGCGTGACCTTGCGCATGACCCTTGACATCTCTGGATTAAATGGGTTAATCCTGGTCAATTCTCAGGCCAGTGCCCGGTGCCAGGCCTGAGGTCAGCCCAGGGAATCTTTGCTGTTATTATTACTCAGCATCGTGACTTAGACTTTCAAGGCAAGTCTTTAACACAGAGTGGTGGGATTTTACAGCCTGTGGACCCCAGGCAGGTGAGGAAATGAGCTGGCCAAAGGCACTGAGCCTCCTCCTGGCCACCGAGGGGCCAATCACGGGGTCTGTTAGCTGGGTCTGCACAAGAGGCCACTCTTTTGTTTTTAAACATCACCCGAGGATATGTTTCTAGTGATTTGAGAGAGAGAGGAAGGGAGAGGGAGAGAGAGAGAGAAACATCTATCCGTTGCCTCCTGCACACACCTCAACTGGGGATCAAACCTGCAACCTGGGTATGTGCCCAGATCAGGAATCGAACTCATGACCCTTCAGGGCGCAGATGACACTTAACCAACTGAGCCACACTGGCCAGGGCAAGAAGCCGTCCTTTAAACCTCTCTAAGCAAATTCCAGAATGACAAATGCCTTGTGCACAGGCGATGTGACTCAAATAGGAACATCTGAGAGTGTCAAGTAAGGGGGCCGAAGGTCTCCCTGGGGGTCCCGGGCACCCAGAGGCCAACTTTGGAACTCATTGCCCTCGCGTGCAACTTAGAGCTTTGGGGGCCGAGAACTGAGCGCGCCCCTCCCCTCCCAGGAGCATCCCCGTGGTGCAGATCCTGCGGACCACCGCCCACACCACCGCCTGCGCCGACCACTCAGACCAGCACGTGGGCTACCTGGAGCACGTGGTGGCCCGCATCTCCATCTCCCACCCGCGCCGAGGGGACCTGCAGATCCACCTGATTTCCCCCTCCGGAACCAAGTCCCAGCTGTTGGCAAAGAGGTAAGGCCGGGCTGGCCTAGCAGGGCCGGGCAGGCAGCCAGTGGCAGGCAGGGGGCAGGGGCCGGGCAGGCAGCCACATGGGCATCGGAGCCCGGATGCTCACAATGACACCCCGCCCCTTCCCCGGGGACCCGGGAGCCGGCCACCCCTCCCCTCTTCATTCCTCATCTCTGCAAATGCCCTTTGACTCCTCTGTCACAATCAGGAAGGTTACCAGAGCGGGATAACATAGGTGAAAACGCCGGGCATGGCCCCTGGCACAGGCAGCCGGCTGCCCTCCCTGTGCCGCTTACATCGTGTACCTGACCTTCCAGAACCTCCCAGTGCCCCCACACCCTCCAATCTGTTCTCCTTCCCTCTAACTTCCATCCTCTGCTCAGGCCCAGCATCTGAGCCCGGGGATTCTTAGAGAGCGGGTCCCCAGGTGCCCTGGGTCACCCCCATGTACCAGGTGACACTGTTCCTGTGCCATCCAGCGCTTTCACCCCGCCCGAGGCCACTTGGCAGCCAGCTGAATCCGGGGAATTTGCATTTCCCCCCCAAGGCAGATCGTGTGATGAAAGGATCTATTTCCTGACTCGATTTCACATCTTGCTTAATTCGGCAGCCCTTTCAGCTTGCCAGGGTGTTCCTAAGAGCGAGCTCACATTCGTAAGCATGTCAGGCCTTGAAAGACTGTTCTGTTCCCAGTGCCCTGGGATCTGTTTGGCATCACGTGTGAAAACCAGCCCGACCTTTGCAGTTTCTTAGAAGAAAGTAGGGGTGCCCCCTGCCCTCACTGTCCTCCAGGCAACGAAGGTTTCCCCGGATAAGCATTTTTATACATTGGATGTTCAGAGAACCCCCCAGCTGAGAATCAAACTGAGCATCTGATCTCACATCATAGGAAACTTATATCTGAATGTCTTTTTTTTTTTTTAAATCCTCACCTAAGGATATTCTTTTCATTGATTTTCAGAGAGAGTGGAAGGGAGAGGGGGAGAGAAAGAGAGAGAGAGAGAAACATCGACGTGAGAGAGACACATGGATCAGTTGCCTCCCCCACGTGCCCCGACTGGGGCCAGGGATCGAACCTGCGACCCCGGTACGTGCCCTTGACTGGGAATTGAACCCGTGACCCTTCGGTGCGCCGGCCAACGCTCTAACCACTGAGCCACACAAGCCAAGGGCTGAGTTTCTGATGAACAGTTGAGCCCCTATGTTAAAAATTGTTCCAAAGTCGAGCTAGAAACTTAGACTGGGACAAAATAGTAAGACAAGCACCTGAACTTGTTTCTTCTAAGGCGGGGAGGCCGCCGGTGCCCGGGAGCTGCTTCCTGCTTCTGCTCAAACCACACATGAGACTGTGCCCGGGGCTGAAGGCCCATCCAGGAGGGACTTTTGCTTCTGGACGGACCATGGGAGGCCGGCTGGGAGGAGGGAGCGCCCGGGCCTCCCCACACTGCGCCCAGGGGCGCCTCCCACCCCCCTGGGAAACAGCCAGGCCTGTTAGGTCATCCCCCCCAAATGCAACTCTGGAAACACTGAGTTGAAGCCCTGGAGAGGCAGGGACAGCCCTGTTCCCGCACTTGGAGTAGCTGTACATTGTGCATTCTGTCTCTTCTGGAGAGCAGCACGCAAGAGCGGCTCTGAGACCAGCGAGAGTCTCACTCATTCCGAGAACCAGCCTGTTAGACGGGCCTCCTGGTGGGGCCGTGGGGCTGCGGCCCTGCTGTCGAGCATTCCCGCCCTGGTCTCGCGGGCTCCAGAGGATGCGCCTGGGGTGGGTAAGGACCGAGCACCTCCTGAAGGACACATTGAGGGTGTTTGTTAGTGACCCGCAGGTGATGGAAGGACAGGGCCAGGAGTCACAGTGCCCCCCAGCGAGGCCAGCAGGTCACTGCACCTGGGCTGGCTCCTCAAAAATCGGGAGGGAGGTGACCTTGCAGACAGAGTTCCTGTCTCCTGCTGGGCGCCTGCGAGGCCCGGGCCTGCCTCTCGGTGTCTTGAGACCCAGAGAGACAGTGGAGAGACCACTGCTTAGGGTCGTGTCGTGAACACGGCTGGGACAGTGGCCAGCATCTCGCCTGCACCTTCGCCGGCAGAGGGCTGTGCTCACACCTGCAGCCCTCGAGGGGCCTGGAGACAGAGCCCTCCGTGGACGGGTCCCCCTGTGTTCTGACCGCCAGTCTCCCATTGCAGGCTGCTGGACCACTCCAACGAAGGCTTTTCAAACTGGGAGTTCATGACCGTGCACTGCTGGGGAGAAAAGGCCGAGGGGGAGTGGACCCTGGATATCCAAGACGTGCCGTCCCAGGTCCGCAACCCGGAGAAACAAGGTCAGAGGCGCTGGGGGCTTCATGGCTTTTGTGTCTCCACCCTTTCAGCTCTAGGGCTTTGATTTAACTACAGTGTCTCCGGTCATTTTTTTATTTTTATTTTTTTTATGAAGGTAAAATTCACATGATGCAAACGTCACCGTTTTCATCACTTTACAGGCTGTGATTAAATGGCTTCGGTACATTCACAGGATTCTGCAGCCATCCCCACCGTCTAGCTCCAGGACTTTCTCATCACAGGATTCCCTGTGCCCATTAAGCAGTCACCCCCATTCGGCAGCCCCTCCCAGCCCCTGGGGCCCCCGATCCCCTGCCTGTCTCTATGGATTCACTTCCCCTGGGGCATTCTTTGGGAGTGGAATCATACCACATGTGGGCTTTCGTGTCTGGCTTTTCTGACTTAGCATAATGTTTCCAAGGTTCATCCACGCTGTAGCATTTATGCTTCATTCCTTCTGACTGGACTCCGTTCCGCTGTGGCCTGGGCCACCTTCCTGTGCTCTTTCGTCAGCCGATGGCAGCTGGATTGCTGTACTTGGTGGCCGTTAGGAATGCTGATGCTTTGACTGTCCCTGTGCACACTGTTCCGTGGACGTGTTTTCCATTCTCTCCATGCAGAATGGCTGAGCCACAGGGTAATTCCGTGTTTAACCCTTTGGGAAGCTGTCAGACTGTTTTCCCACAGTGGCTAGACAGTTTTCCATGTCTCCCAGCAAAATAGGAGGATGTTAGTTCACGAGATCCTCGCCAACACTTGTCTTATTTCCGTTTGTTTGTTATTGGAGCCACCCTAGTGGGGGTGAGGTGGCACCTCGCTGTGGCTTTGGGCTGCATTTCCCTGGGAACTGATGATGCTGAGCATCTTTTCACGGGTTTGTTTACTGGCCATAAATCTTCTCGGGAGAAATGTCTGTTCAGGTCTTCTGCCCATTTTACAATTGGGCCGTTTGTCTTTTCGTATTGAATTGTAAGAGTTCTTTACCTATTCTGGATACTAGGTCAGTATCAGAAAAGCTATTTGGAAATTTTTCTCTCTCAATCTGTGGGTTGTGATACAAGGGATACTGTCTAGGGGTCACCCTGAATTAAGTCGTGAACAGGCCGGTGTCCATCTGTCGGCATGGTTAGCATTGGGGTCTTTGGCTGGTTGAGGCAGGAACGGAATAAACATCTCCTGGTAGCTCCTAGCTCTGACCTTCTGGGACTTACCGGAGTTTGGGGACCGGGACTCACGCTTCAATGTTGTCACAGCCTGCACATCCCTGCGGCAGTGTCCGGGGTATGACTGTTTGTGCAAGCTTTGCCCTGCAGGGAACTATTGCCCCTGAGGGGGGCTTTGCAGAAACAAGTGCCTGCAAGTGGCCCACTACTCTGGACATGCCACAGGCCCCTCTGTGCATGGTGAGGACGGTTCCCCTGTCCCAGTGCACACTCAGCACAGCCGGGCATGAGCGCTACCTCCCCGAGCACAAGGTGGAGTCTGCGTTGCTTCTTTCAGAGTCGAGGGAGGAGACAAAGGGTGAGAACCATCTTAACAGCCAGGCTGCCTTTCGAAGCAGGTCGAGCCCCAACCTTGTTCAGGTCAGGATGCTGTCATCTGTTGGGGACTTCAGCCTGGGACTGTGACACTGGGTGACCAAGGTGACTCCAGCTTTCCGGAACCAGGAGAAACAGGGCCTGGGAGCTGTCTTGCAGATGTTACTGGGGCTCAGGGAGTGGTTAATCCCACCGGTCAGGGTGGACTCTCGGTGCCGGGGGTGACACAGCCAAGAGGAAGACAGCATTGGGAGAGGGAGCGCCGTTCTCTCCGAGAACGTCCTGACGAGGTGCTGCATGTCTGTGATGCCCATTTCTATCTCCCTCAGACTTTACAACTTAATTGTTTTGTTTCTTTTAAGCCAACTCAGTTCCGATGGCTCTAGGCCATTCCATTGAGTTTTATGTTCTCTATTTTACTTACTAAATATCTTACTGTTAGATTTACCAAAAAAAAAAAAAAAAAAAAGAGCCAGCTCAGTTCCAATGGTGTGCTGAGTAAAATGCTTTCAAATCTCAGATAAGACCTGCGGTTTATGAAGTAATTAGGGCAGCTGAGTGATGTGCTAGCTCAAATAATGCTCACCCCTGGCACACTGAGCTTGGTGTACGTCATTGGATTTACAGCTTTGTTTAAAAAGCTGAATAGTCCATGAGTCATCTCTCTACCTCGCCGGTTCCTGGCCAAGGAAGGTGTGTCGTCTCCCAGGATCACTGTCCTGTGGGAGACAAGTTAGGGATGGAACTGAGGGCAAATCCTGCTTCGTGTTGTGTGTCCTAGTGGCTTTTCACTGGGGCGTGGTGGCAATCCTATCAGTAGAGGACTAGCTTTGGGGCTCAAGGGGGATGCATTCAATGTAGGACCTTCCAATGGCTCTTTCTCCCCCCCCCCAAAACCAACTCTTATTTATCCCAACAGAGCTATCCCATCTCTGAGAGGAGCTTTGGTCCCCTTACCTGAGGGTGATGCCTTATTTCATTAGTTTATTTCTTTCTTTCCAGGACCCACTCACAGGAGTAAAGGTCTAGTTGCCATTGGTTTTAACCACTTATTTAATAAATCAAACTATTTTTCAGACTCAATATTGCTACTCATTAAACAGTTATCACTGAATTCTGAATATGCTCAAGAGTCATTTTCTAAGATGGAAAATTAAAAAACAACATTTGGTATTAAAATATTTTAATACACAGGCAGACACCTTCTTAGGCATTCCTGACTTCTCAGTCCCCGTAGTTAGATGATCGCAGACAGAGCTTTATTCTGTGTTGTAGCCTTAATATGTAAAGAGTGCTCACAAATCACTAAGAAATCTGAAAAGCACCCTTACTAGAAAAATAGACAAAAAGCCTAAAAAGGCAATTCATGAAGAAAAATATATAAAGAACCAATAAACAAAATATAGTTAATCTTTGTAGTAATCAAAAGAAAATATAAATTGGAACACAAGGTAAATAGGTCAGCAAGCCAACAGGCAGAGGTTCCAGGGGTTGCAAAACAACCCCAGAATGTGCCTGGTGTTCTGCACCTGGGGTCACCGTGTGATCTCGTGAAAAGGGCCTGAATGTAGAGGTAGGAAGGCCTGGCTCCCAGCACTGGCTCCACCGGTTCCTGTCTGGGAGACCTTGTGACTAATTACTCCCTCGTGGGCGTGTTATGTGCACTTGACGGGCGTGAACATTTCTGGCACATAGTAGGTTGTCACGGAAGCTCAAGTTTCTCTTCCCCCCTCTTCTGACCTGCCCACTGCGAGTGTAGCGGGCTTCAGGAACCGGTCCATTGCCCTCTGGGCAAGTCCCAGCCCGAGGTCAGTGGTAGAGACCTGCCTCAGAGCCTTTGAGGAAGTTTAAACTGGCTGTGGATCTGGAGAGCTCCAAAGTTTGGAAGCAACCGCATATCCAGAGTTGCGCTCAGGGCCAGCTAGATTGCCATCTACTCAGTGGACTGAAATGGGAAATGCTTTCAAGCCTCAACCTCAGGAGGTACATTTCTAGTCTTTTTTTTTCTTTCTTACGCAACACTCTTCCAAACCAAAGAAACAAACAAACAAAAAAATTGCTAACCCGCATCTTGGTTTTGAAATGCATTGGCTTTCAGCGGCTTCCTTGTGCACACAGGTGTGTCCCGGGTCAGAGTCGTTTCAGTTCCCACACAGCTTGGCTTTCTTTGGAGCTCAGCCCAGCACACCTGAGTCCACCCGCTCGCTTCCGTGGGACCCCATCCTTCAGTCCATCCTCCCCACAGACCTGAGAGTGGAGGCCGGGCGAGTTCCCAGCGGTCCAGGCAGAATCGAGTGCATTTGTCAAAGCCCATGGAGTCAACTCCAGGGGCGCAGATGAGTGGCGAAGGTCCAGCCTGACCCGCGTGCAAGTCACCTTGACCGGGAAGTGTCTGTGGGAAGGTGGGTGGTGAGGGGAAGACCAGGTTGCCACACACATTGGAGTTGGGACACAGGATTAAGACCTTGGGATCCTGTTTTGTTTTGTTTTTAATGTTTTTATTGATTTCAGAGAGAGGAAGGGAGAGGGAGAGAGAGAGAGAGAGAGAGAGAGAGAGAAACATCAATGAGAGAGAAACATCAATCGGGTGCCTCCTGCATGCCCCCTACTGGGGATCAAGCCCACAACCCGGGCATGTGCCCCGACCAGGAATTGAACCAGCAACCACATGGTGCACGGGACAGCGCTCAACCGCTGAGCCACACCAGCCTGGAAATAACAGTTTCTTGATGCTAAGCTTCCTGGGACACCGTCCCAAGTTTATAAACCAAACTCTGCATTGCTGCCTCAAACTATTAAACAGTGTCCCACGAAGTTGCTACACTGGAATGGAAGACTTTCCAAAGAAAGCTCAGGGAGTTCGGTTCTTCTCAAACATCGCTCATTAGTTCAGACAGTCAACGCCATCAACCTGCAGCCACGTGCGCTGATCACTTTTTACTCGATGGATATTACATTGGACTTGCTGTGTGGCTCCCCAGGCGGACCCCGCCCCTGCCCTTGAGCCTCACCTGTTCCCACACAGGTGGGAGCTGCGGTGGCCCCAGGGGACAGTCGGGCCCAGTGAAACCCAGCAGACCCTGGGGAGCTGCGGCTTTTCTCTCCACGCAGCCTCCCCGGCATCTAGCTGCCTGGACAGAGCAGGTTAATGTAAAAGGAAGGACTCTCCTGAATCCCCTTCTCAGGTCGACTTTATTACTTTCGGAAACATGGCCTGGTCAGCCCTGGCCAGTGTGGCTCAGTTGGTTGGGCGTGGGCCCCGGGCACTGAAAGGTTGCGGGTTTGATCCACGGTTGGGGCACGTGCAGGAGGGAGCCAGTTTCTGCTCTCACATTGTTGTTTCTCCCTCCCTCCCTCTTCCTCTCTCTCTCAAAATCAGTAATAAAAAGAAACGGGTCATGATCAAAAATATGTCTGTATTTCCATGTGGCCTTTTTTCCTGACATTTTACAGAGCTCCGTCCAACCATGCTGCAGGCATCACTTTCTGTTTCTTTCTGTTACTTGCGTATCAAGCAGTTTTAATGTCATGGTATATCCATTGTAAGCGGCATTTTTTAAGTTTTTTTTTTTTAATTTGTCTTTATTGATCTCAGAGAGAGGGAGATGGAAACATCAATGATGAGAGTCATTGATCGGCTGCCTCCTGCCCGCCCCCTGCTGGGGATCGAGGAGCCCGCACCCCGGGCCTGTGCCCTGACCGGGAATCGAACCGGGATCTCTTGGAACCTAAGTCAGTGCTCAGCCACTGAGCCACACCAGCTGGGCATAAGCAGCTTTTTATATATTTTTTATAATACATCACCAGGGGAAAATGCCATCATTTACATCCCTCTCTCGTTGGACATGTAGATTGCCTCCTGCGGTTTTGCCACTATAAATAGACAGCATCGTGGAGAAAGCTTTCTCCTAAATTTAAAATTATCTCTATAGGATCATTCACCAGAAATCAGACGCCTGGGACAAATAAGAAGTGGAAACCACAGATATTTCTGCTGTGGATACATATCACCGATTTGCTTTTCAAAACAGTTGAGGTGCTTTACGGTCTCTGGAGGCGCAGGCCTGCGTCACTCTTTCCCCGGGTGCAGAGGGGAGAGAGCTGATGTATCTCCCTAATTTGCGTTGTGATCACACGGGAGAGGGTGCCACTTTCCAAGTGTGTAAAAGCTGTGTTTTCCCTTTTAAAAGCTGCCCTTCCCGCTTTTGTCCTCAGTGCTGCTGTTATCAAGCTAATAAACACTCCGCGTGACACACATGCTCGGGGGCACACGCGTGTGCACGCCTGGCCTTCCCAGGCCAGTCCCAGCCTCCCTCCGCCTCCCCCCCCTTGCTTCCCGTAATGTGGCCGTAACGTGCATTTTTAGCCGTGTGTTAAATTTACTGAGTGAAGGTTGGCGTTTCTGTATGTGTGTGTTTGTAAAGTATTTCATAGAGCAGCTTTATTGAAATCCAGCTCACAGACTATAAAACTCACCCTTTCAAAGTGTTCGTGTATATTTTTATATTTTTATACATACACGGAACTTTTTTTATTCCTTCCACCCAAACCGCTGCGTTCAACTCGGTAAACTTGGTAACTCGGGGTCACTGGACCTCAGCAGGGAAAACGTCCACTGAGTGTTAGCCTGAGACAGATTCCTTCATTTTCTGGGCCTCTCTCTCTCTCTCTTTTTGAAGATGGCTTTTTCTTTTCTTTTTTTAAAATCCTCACCTGATGACATGTTTCCATTGATTTTAGAGAGAGAGGAAGGGACAGAGAGAGAGGCAGAGAGATTCGTTGCTCCAAGTATTTATGGATCATTGGTTGATTCTTGCATGTGCCCTGACCGGGGATCGAACCTGCAANGAGGGGGAGAGAGAGATCGATTGGAGGCAGCCAACCGATGTTTCTCTCTCTCTCTCCCCCTCTCCCTTCCTCTCTGACTGGGGACTGATCAGGGATCGAACCCGGAACCCAGGTATGTGGATTCATAGCTTTTTTGAAAACTTTTATTGACTTTTGATTGATTTTAGAGAGAGAGGAAGGGACAGAGAGAGAGGCAGAGAGATTCGTTGCTCCAAGTATTTATGGATCATTGGTTGATTCTTGCATGTGCCCTGACCGGGGATCGAACCTGCAACGTTGGTGTATCTGGTCGATGCTGTAACCAGCTGAGCTACCCGGCCAGGGCCCATAGCGTTTTTAAATTAAACATATTTTCTTAAAAAAAATTATGTGTGTGAAAAGTAATATACGCTGTGGCTTTTAAAATAAAAATCAAGTGTCTCTTCCACTTCTGAACCCCTTCCTGCCTTCCAGCCCCCTCCTGGTGTCTTAGAATAAATCTTTCCCCGGTTTTACTGAGATGAAATGGGCAGATGGCGCTGAACCCACTTGAGGTGTTCAGCGTAATTATTTGACTTGTGTATATTGTGAAGTGATCACCACAATAAGTTGAGTTACATCCATGATCTCAGGTAGACACACACACACAAAAAGAAAAAAAATGTTTGTTTTTTTCCTTCTGATGAGAACTCTTAGGATCTACAATTCTGGTTTCTTGGGATTCTTTCTGCTCTCTCCCTGGTCCTGAGCTCGGAGCGGCCCCTCTGGTTTGTCTTACCAAAAGTGCATCCGAAAATAAGAATCTAATTTTAGTGAGGAGGCGTTTGGTGCGGGTTTTCGGTGACATCGTATAAGTCTGAAAGAAATCTTGACTCAAATTGCAGCTTACGGGGCCCTTGGTCCCTTCGTGTAGTCATCCTGCTCCCGCCCTAATTACAGTTCGTCACTCAGTAGTTCAAATGCCCAGATTCCTCAGCGGTTTGGAAATAGAGCTGCACTGGACCCTAAGGGATTGAGGGTGGATGGAGATCCATAAGCAGGGACCGGGTTTCTGCACCTGCACCCTCGAGCGCTGCTTCTGTGTCGCTGTCATCAACTGCGGAGCCTGTTAGGGATGTTTTAGGGAAATGGCCCCAGAGTGTCTAAAATAACCCTTCGGAAGGCTGGATCCCAGGAAATGGGTAGCTCGGGAGTGTTTTTATTCAAAGGCAAGGACCTCCAACCTCCAAAGCTGGCCCAGCCAGAAGTCCAGGCCGTCCCACGCCTGACTTAGGGAGGTTTGGGATGTCCTGCCCCGGCCCCTGCGCACATCTGGGCTGCAGCCCCCCAGATGTCCCCACCTGCCCCACTAGCTGTGAAGGAAGGAGCCCAGGCCCCAGCAGTCTTGCAGTGGTCCAGGGTTAAGGACTGAAACTGCAGGACTCCTTGGTGTAGCCCAGTTGGCACATCTGGAGGCACTTGGGGCAAAGCTCAGGGCCAGGCCCGCCCCGGCTCGGCCCGCTGGGCAAGAGAAAGAAGCTGTCGCTGCCACCGATGGCGGTGGGGGCCTTGAGGGAGGCTGCAGGGAGGCCCTGGGGCAGAGACAGGGCCTGGGCAGTAGGTGCCTCCCTGGTCCTTGGGTGACTAGGAAGCGAAGGTAGGGGCCCCAGAACCCTCCCCTGGGATGGGGTTTGGGGGCGCGGCACCTCTGTGAGTGACAGATGCCATCGGCCAGGCCGGGGGGCCAGAGTTCATCAGGAGCTTCCCCAGGGAGGTTCCCTGACTCCGTGGGTTTGGTGCTTGGCAGGGAAGCTGAAGGAATGGAGCCTGATCTTTTACGGGACGGCCGAGCACCCGTACAACACCTTCAGCTCCCACCAGTCCCGCTCCCGGATGCTGGAGCTCTCCACCCCGGAGCTGGAGCCCCCCAAGACCGCTCTGTCGCTGTCGCACACCGAGGGTCCCGAGGACGAAGAGGACTACACAGGTAATGAGCCCAGATCCAGAGGACACGCCGGCCTCGGCGCGTTCTGGGTTTTCGCCCTTTAAACGCGGGCCGTTCCTGGCTCAGGTGGGGTTAGGATTGTCTGCCTTCGTGTCCCGAAGTCGTAATAACGATGCTAATTTGCACTCACACAGCTCCTTCCTCCTACGGCTCTCCTAATATTTTACAGACCAGTAAGTATGCTTCAAACTAGTAAGTATTTCCAATCTTCCCAGGCCGGGAAATCGAGGTTGTATGTGCCCAACCAGAACTGGGCCCTGCCCCATGGTTAATGAGGCTCCCATCTCATGTCCCAGCCCCGTCAGATCCACCCACTGTCAGCCCTTGGTGACAGACTGTGGGAAGGACCAGGGCCCCAATGGGGGCCCGGGATGGTTGGGTCGAATGAGTGCAGCCAGGAAGGGACCTGGCGTGGAGATCTTCACCGGCCTCAAGGGCTGCGATAAAGACCCAGGATTGGGTCTCAAGATCCTGTGTCAGTAGATGCTAATGCTACACGAGGCAGCTGCAGAATCTCCCAGGAGGAAAAGATGCCGTTGCAGATACTTTTCTCTCCCCAACAATTTTTTATTTTTAGGGAGAGAGAGAGACATCAGTGTGAGAGCAAAATGTCAGTGGGCTGCCTCCCACACACCCCACACTGGGGATCGAGCTCAAAACCCCGGCATGTGCCCTGACCAGGAATCGAACTGGCAGCCTTTCAGTGCACATGATGACGCCCAATCCACTGAGCCACACCGGCCAGAGACTTTTCTTCCATTCGTTGCCAGGGGGCCTTCGGCTCTGGGCCTGTGGCTCACTCCATGAAGCCAGTGGCAGGGAGAGGGCCTCGGACACTGCCCGTCTCGATTAGCACGTCACACAGAAGGCTGTTCCTTCCCCTCCGCACCATCCGTAGTGATCTGTGCGAAACCCAGCATTTCTGGTTGGGCATATGACCCTTGGCTAAGTGTTCCAGCTACGTGATGAACGATGGGTGCTCCCTAAGCCTGTTGAGGCTGTGAGTTTTCTAATAGCTTCTGGGGGGGAAAGGAGGTGACACTGGCGATTCCCCGAGTGCATATCGGGCATAAATGATGGGCAATTCCATTTTAAATTCCTTCTTCCTTTCCTTTGAAATGGACTGGTGAATTATGGATGGGCCAATCTGCTCTGGTTCCCCCTGTGATTTACAAACCGCGGCGAGATTCAGTGATTACTCATAAATGACTGATTTTATTTTAATCTGCTAGCGGCTCTGCCTTTCCGCTGTCCGGGGATCTCACGGTCAGGCCGGTGCGCAGCCCGGGTCACTCAGCCTTCCCCGCGTGTGGCCTGGCTGGCTGGGGGGGGGACCCTGTGGGGTTAGGGCGTCTTTCTGATGCTGAGGGACCAGGCGACTCCGGACCAGGATGTGCAGCCCGGCACATCCCCAGGGACAAGCCCCGCTCAGAAAGGGGTTCACAGTGGGACCCACAATGCCAACCTTGGAAATCTCAACAACATCAAACCTTCGGGGAGGGAAGCAAAATAAACCGGCCTAACACTGGGAAGGTCAGGAGGCTCTCGAAGGGGGAATGAAGAGGGCTTTGTGCGCTCAGCAAAGACCCATTGTGGGCCCCGAGAATGGGACTTCTGTCCTGCCCTCCCGTCCCGGGAAACGCTGGTGGCCAGCAAATCACGTCCTCTGTGCTTCTGAGCGCACCCCCGCCCCCTGCAATAACTAGAACCTTACAGAGGGGGTTGTTTTTTCTTTCTTTCTAAAGGCTCAGAAGGCCTCATAATGGCCCCCGGGGCTCCTCCCTGCGCACGGGCTTTCCTGAGCCACTTCCTAGAGGGGGGGACAGGGAGGGGGTCAGAAGGACGGTCCCCCCACAGGGCGGCTTTGGCAGCTGTGGTCACGTTCATCGGGCTGGGGGAAGAGGCCACGTGCGGACACGCTGCACCCCAGCCTGAGGGCGAGGCTTGCCGGTGTCCCTTAAGCTCCCCGTATCTCGCCCTGTCGCTTTTGCAACAGGATACAGGCCCCCAGAGTTAAACTGAGGGGACATAGGGCCCCAGAGGAGAGACAGTGGTGGCCCGCTGCTGAGGGCGAGAGGGAGGGTAGCCAAAAAGGAGGGGGGCATGTGAAGCCGCCCCCACCCCCCCCAGGCCCACCAGGGACAGCCACACCCCGCGGTCCTGGCACATGGAAATCCCCCCGTCTTTCCTGGTCATTTCCGGCGCGATCGCCACTGTCCGTCAGCAGCTGCCCTAATGCCCTGGACACCCCATATTCCGTTGTTTTTTCCTTCAGAAATCAAAACTGCTGGCTGGTCCCGGCACCGCGGTGCAGGGAATTCACGGGCACAGTTGTTACCCGCCTCATCTGTCCCCATCCCAGCTGCTCTTCCAGGCTCTCACAGTGTCCCTCTTGTGTCCCCACCCGCCACTGCTGTTCTCCTGTCTCGGGCTGTCCCTGTCTAGAGGATAAGACCCTCTGACACTGGCCCCCTGACCAGGGTCACCGCTCCCCTGCGGCCAGATTGCCATGGGGGTGGACGCCCAGGTTTGGACCCTCACGCCCGCCCCCCTCCTGGGAAGCTTCTCTGGACCCCAACACAGGGTCCCAGGGGTCCGGATTGGGCTGAGCAAGTGTGTCTGTGGGTGAAAGGAAATGCTTGTTTCTTTAAGGTATGTGCCACCCGGAGTGTGGGGACAAGGGCTGTGACGGCCCCAACGCAGACCAGTGCCTGAACTGCGTCCACTTCAGCCTGGGCAGCGCCAAGACCAGCAGGTAAGGGCTGGGGTGTCGCCTGCATGTGGGCAGCACACGATCGAGGGGGCCTGGTTTCTTGTTTTTTGTTTGTTTTATGTTTTTATTGTTGTGGGGTTTTCTTAGAGAGAGACAGAGAGAGAAACATCAACATTGATCGGCTGCCTCCTGCTCGCCCCCTCCTGGGGATTGAGCCCCAAACCCGGGCATGGGCCCTGACCGGGAANGACAGAGAGAGAAACATCAACATTGATCGGCTGCCTCCTGCTCACCCCTCCTGGGGATTGAGCCCCAAACCCGGGCATGGGCCCTGACCGGGAATTGAACTGTGACCTCCCTGTGCGTAGGTTGACACTCAACCACTGAGCCACACCGGCCAGGGCAAGGAGGCCTGTGTTCAGCTGTGTTCTCACCCCCACACCTGGCACCCTACTTAAGAATCCATGTGATGCCCAAAAAGGAAATCCCACCGATGTTCACCAGTTTGGACTTGGATACGTTTTAGTAATTTTGGGGTTCTCAACACACAAGGAATTTGGGTCCCTGACAGAATCTGGAAGCTGTCCCGGCGGCTCACTGCCTCCGTGGCCTGACTTTGGCGGAGGTGCCTGTGCTGCGGGTCGTGAGCGTGGGGCTGGGCGGGTTGGAAAGGTCCTCTCTCTGCCTCTCTCCCCCCCAGGAAGTGCGTGAGCCTGTGCCCCTTGGGCTACTTTGGGGACACAGCAGCAAGACGCTGTCGCCGGTGCCACAGGGGGTGTGAGACCTGCTCAGGCAGGAGCCCCACCCAGTGCCTGTCCTGCCGCCGCGGGTTCTACCACCACCAGGAGATGAACACGTGCGTGAGCTTCTGTCCTGCCGGGTTTTACGCTTTGGAAAGTAAGTGCATGTCGCAGGGCTTAGAAATGATGAGGCAGGCGGTCCCTCGCTGGGCTGGGGCCCCCTCTCCTGGTTGAATTTCCCCGCCCTGTGCTTCCAGGTGCTCTCAGTCCTTCTGAGAAAGGACCCCGAGCAGGGGAGGGAGAGGGGGAGGGAGAAATCGGAGCCTTTGGACCTGTTGGTTCACAGCCAGTCACTCACATGTGTGGCCAGAAGAGTTCACAGTGACGCTGAAGTGAACCCCAGAGTGTGCCCCACAGTGTGAGGAATCTCCCACCCGCAAGTCAGGGCCCATTACTGAGGGTGGGCAGAGAAGCGGCCTGGGCAGGTGGCTCTCAGACATCGAAAGAGAGAGGCCTTTGAGGATGTCCTGCTGTCGGTCCTGAACTTTCTCCTCTAGGAGAGGCCACGTGGGCGTCCCTGTAGCGCTGGATGTCCCCATGGGCAGCCTGGGGTGGGCCCTGGGGAGCCGGCACCAGCTCACGGGCTTGGTGGTCAAAACTGGCTGAAGTCCCTCCTAGGAAGGGCTCCTGAGCAGAAAGTGGGGTGTAAGTGTGGACAGAAAGTTTGCGGTCCCCCACAGAGGAAGAGCAGCCTGTTGGCCAGAGAGGCAGCTTAGTCTTTGCGGTTCTCACAGTGACCGCCCCCCTTAGAGGCGGGCGATGCGCTCCTCCCGCGCCCCCCAGCTGGGAAACAAAGCAAGGCCCGCAACTGGTGGTGGCACAGGTGGGACTTGGACTCAGGGCGGCGAAGCCAGGTCCCAGGAAGGTGGGGGGATGGGCCCAGGACCCCATGACAGCGTTTCACCACCTCAGCCCCCCNCCCCAGGAAGGTGGGGGCATGGGCCCAGGACCCCATGACGGCGTTTCACCACCTCAGCCCCCCAGGGAACAGGCAAAGAGAGGGCTGGGTTAGACTGATGGAGGGTCGTCCTCAGGTTCAAAGGAGGTGCCAGTTTGAGGCTGGCGATCATGCGGGTGGCAGGCCTTCTGTGGGCCCCCTGCTCTCACAGCACTGCCATTACCCCTGTGGACAAGTAGCCAGGAAACCCTTAGAGACAGAGAAAGCCACTGAGTAGCCAGGCTCTCGAAAGGAAACACGCTGTCATTCAAGATGCGTTTCACAGCCTCTGCGACCTGCCCTGAGCTGCCCCCAGGCCGGTTCTCATGGTGGAGGCTCCTTCCGCTCCAACCCCACCTGATCTCAAGGCAAGAAGCAGCCACCCTCACTGACCCTGCGGGTCCTCCTGTGACGTGTGTGTCATGCCTGTGGGCCCTGAGCAAGTAGCCCTTAGCTCCCAGGCCCGGAACACCAGGTAGTAGTGATGAGACGCCAGAAGCAGTGACCTAGGTACTGACTTGTGCAAATGCAGGCGGGGGCCTGGTGACCCAGAACTTCCCCAGGAGGTAGGAGGGGTGGGTGTCTGGATTCCTGTCTCTGCCCACGACTGCCAGGCCTTCAGTAAAGACCCCCGGAGGGCACTCGGGGGAGCGAGAGGCTCAGGGCTCCACCCTGCCACCTGCACGAAGGCACCTGAGTCATTTCTGCTTGTTGGCCAGGAATCGGCTTCAGTTTTGTGGAAATAAGCAGAACCCAGGCCCGTCTTCTCTGGACAGGGCCCTCCAAGGTTGTTCGAGGACTTTCATTTACTCCAGGAAAAAAGAGGTGGGAGACCCAGCACCTGACCCCTGGGCACGGGGTCTCATGTGGCCTCTGGCTGTTGCATTATGACATCTGGGGAGCGGCGCTGGTAACAAGCAGCTCTGTCAGCTTGTCTTAGGAACACCAGGCTCATCGCCCAGACGTGATTGCATTGATTCCACCCCTTCTCTCTTTGCCATCTTTTCCCCCAGGCCAGAAAAAATGCCTTAAGTGCCACCCGAGCTGTAAGAAGTGCGTGGATGAGCCCGAGAGATGTACCGTCTGTAAGGAAGGGTTCAGGTAAAGCCCCGTCTTCTGACCTCAAGACCAGCGCCGTGTTTCTGCTGGTTTTTGTTTCTGTCATCGATTTGCCATGTTTCTGCCCATTTGCACTGAAAGCTAAATTTTCAGAAGCCTTTCGGGGTAAAGGTTAAGTGTCTATAAAATTAGACTCGCGTTTTCTCTCTTCTCTCAAGCTCAACACACATCTCCTTTAAAAATATTTTACTGGGTGAATGATTTTTATGGGAATATTTTGAGATGTTTGTGCAGTCCGCTGTCAGCTGGACAAGGCAGGGTTAGAGGTAAAAGGACAAAGGGGCACTGAGCTGGCCCCAGTTGGGGGCCTAGGAGACGTGGCTGTGATGTCAGCTCCAACTAGGCTCCTGGACCCCAGGCTGGAACTGCAGGTGTCGGGAGGGCTCCAGGGTATCAGGTGGAGCCTGTCTCCCAGGGGGGGCTGCGGAGGGACCCAGGGAGCTGCTCTCTGTGTCCTCTGGGTCCTGGGGGAGAGAGGAAGTCAGCCGCCCACATAGGAAAATGGTCTCGCAGGGAGAAACACAGCAGCCACACAATCGGAAGCAGGGTTTTATCGTCAGCCTTAAGCCGCAGAAAGCTCCCCTTTATTGCCCAATATCCTCTTAAGCTGTGGCTGCAAATCACCACTGTCACGTTCACACTGTGCACAGCAAGCCCGTCCCTGCCATCTCGCTGGCGGGAACAAATGCAGGAGGAATCTGCATTTGAGGACTTGATTTAAAGCCCAGCCAGTCGCAGCAACCCTGGCTCCACCGTGAGAAAGAGCCCTGGGTGCCCCTATCCATGGGGCCCCACCGGCATCTCCCCCTAAGTGCAGGACCCTGTGGGTCCCACCCCCCCAGAGCACTAGGGGCAGGCGCATTCCCAACATGCGCATCAAACACTGAGTAACCCTGGGAGCGGAGGAAGTCACAGTCCCTGACATTTACTCTCACTGCCAGACACCTGTCCAACATTTTGCAAGTATTTGCTCATTTAGACCCCAAAGCAGCCCTGCCATGCAGGAGCTACAGTTGTCCCAGTGAACAGGAGAGGAGACGAGGTTCAGAGAGGTTAGCAAGCGCTGGGTAGGGTTGCACAGCCAGGAAGTGGCGGAGGCAGGACCCCGGAGTGCACGGTCCAGCCTCCTCCATGCACCCAGGAGGCGAGGGAGGAAGGCAGGAGGCCCCATCAGGCAGGGCCTGCTAGGTCCCAGGGGTGCATTTGATTTCAAGGTCATCGTGAAGGGCAGAGGCAGGAGCCGGTGCAGGTTTCAGGATCAGTCTTGCTAACACTTTGCAAAGGGCTCGGACTCAGTGAGGCTGAGCCACCCCGCCCCCACACATGCTCGGTTCTCCTCTTGGGGTTTGGGTTCAAGTTTGATTAATGTCAGTGGAGAGAAGCCATCCCAGCCCAGGAGAGAATGGGCTTTGGAGATGGAGCCTGGTCCCACTGGCCTCGTGCAGGTAGAGGTTCTACCTTAAGGCCCAGGACGACCTTCCCAGGGCACCTGCAGCTTCAGGACAGCTTCTCCGGCCCAGAACCTCCACCCACACAAAGAGCTGTGCTTTTGCAAATTTCGTCTCCCCTCGTGAAAGACATTGGAGGGCAAATCATCATTTCATTAGGATCTGGAAGGAATGTCAAAATCTGCCCCCTTTTTCTTCCCACAGCCTCGCCCGAGGCAGCTGCATTCCGGACTGTGAGCCGGGCACCTACTTCGATTCGGAGCTGATCACCTGTGGGAAGTGCCACCAGACCTGCAAGACCTGTGTGGGTGAGTCCACCGCCTGCACGGGCTTCGGTTCCATCGGGCCACACGGGCCTGGGACCTGGGCTACCCAGATGGGCGACTTCCCTCTCTTGAAACCGAGAAAGCCCAAGGACTGCTTGGGCTGCCATGGGTTTTGTGGCATTAAATCACTGTGCCTGGCTCAGTGCTTGGAGCATTGGCCCTCGCAGCAAAGGGCTGCAGGTTCGAACCCCAACCCCATTCGGGGTGCGTGCGGGAGGCAGCCAGTCAGTGTTTCTCTCTCCCTCTCCCTCTCCCTGCCTCTCTCTCTAGCATCATGAAAAACATATCCTCAAGTGAGGATTAAAACATTACCTTCATCCTTTGTGCCTATTTTCACTTACTTTGAACACTTTTTGCAAGGAGGGAAAGAGTTTCATAAACAGCTTTATGTTCTATTGTCATTTCCCACCGCGATTGCAGCGCAGATGTCTTCCAGGCACGGTTTTTATGCGGAGCAGCCAACGTCGCATTCGTTCCGCTGGCTTTCACGCTGCGTCATTTGCGCTCGGAGGTGGGAGCACATTAGGAGCCTGTAGGCTCAGCTGCATTTCCAGGGAAGTGTCCTCCTGCCACTCCCTCCTGACCCAGCAGCTTGGGCCTTATTGTAAGAAGGCCACGTTGGATGGAGTGTTTTGCTGCAGTAACTGTTAAGAATTAGGTCTCTGCCAAATCACAGTTGCCATAATCTGGGTCCTGGGAAATGGGGCGTGTTGGGCACTCTCTGTGGAGGTGGCTGTGTGACCCCACGTGGCATCAGCTGTGCTTCCCAGGGATGGACATGCATGAGCCCTCAAGGCCCATGAGAAGTGCCTTCGTGGGCGCTCCTCCTGGGACAGCCACCAAGGAGCTGGGCTCAGCGTTCAGAAGTGTTCTCAGCTGCTGACGTCACAGCAACTTCTTTCAGCTGTCCGCCCTGTCGCCTTTTTATCTATCTTTTAAAAACTATATTTTTATTGATTTTTACAGAGGGAGGGAGAGGGAGAGAGAGCGAGCGAAACATCGATTGGCTGCCTCCTGCACGCCCCCTACCTGTGATGGAGCCTGCAACCCCTGGCATGTGCCCTGACCGGGAATCGAACCACGACCTCTCGGTGCCCAGGATGCCTCTCTAACCAACTGAGCCATACTGACCGGGGCCCAGACAATATTTTAAAAAGCCTCCTTCCCTTCACCTCCGGAATCCACCTCACGTCTCTGAGTCTTCCTCACTTTGCACCTATGACTGTGCCTTTTCGAGCTGTTAGCAGCCTGCTCAGCCAGAGGGCCCCCGCTTCGGGGTCGGTCCAGCCACCTTTTGAGTGTGCAAAGCGTGCTGGGAAAGGAAGCATTTGGAATCGGGGCCCACAAACTTGGCCCGGGGTGTGGGGAGCTGTGCTGAGCTGGGCTCCTGTCTCCATGCCCCATGTATGAAATGGGGGTGTGATGTTCCCCTCCCAGCAGTGGGCGAGGGGGGCCCAGTGCAGACACACGGTGGTGGCGGCCTTGAGACACCTGAACAGCAGCCCGGCTGTCACAGGCCCTGCAGCAGGCCTGGGCCACAGGGTGGGCGGGCAGTCCTGATACCTGCTTCCCCCCCACCCCCACTCCCGCACCCTCAGGGCCCAGCAAAGAAGAATGTATCCACTGTGCCGCCAACTTCCACTTCCAGGAATGGACGTGTGTGCCAGCCTGCGGCGAGGGCTACTACCCCGAGGACATGCCGGGCTTGCCCCACAAAGTGTGCCGCAGGTACATGCCCGTCGGACGGCTTCCTGGCCCAGATGATGCGGCCGCCTGGGGCACAGTGGCTGCCTGTGCCAGCTAAGGGGTGGCCGGCCGGCCCAGTCTGGTGTGCCAGGCGCTGTGTAGCTGGGACAGGGCAGGACACAGATCGCAAGGTGCCACCTGGTGGTACTCACACCCCAGGAGCGACTCCATGGGAGCCCCACCTGTGCCACAAGTCGGCGCATTTGTGCAGCCGGACTTGTAGAGGTGGGCGGCAGATGGGAGCCATGGACACCCAGTCCCTGGGAGCTGGCCTCAGACAGGCAGCTGGTGCAGTCCAGGTCCATACGTGGCCCAGAGCAGGACAGGTGCCGATCCAAGCCCCAGGGCAGCGTCAGCAGCTCTTTCTGCAAAGGGCCTGACGGTTAGTAGCTTGCACTTTGCAGTCCAGTCTCTGCCACGGATATTCAGGCCACCACCATGAGAGCAGACACAGCACACAGATAAAAGGGTGGCTGTTCCAATAAACCGCAAGAGGTGGCCTGAGGGCTGAGTATGCCAACCCTCGCTGAGGTCATGGTGCTCTGTCTTAGAAATAGCCCTGGGTCGGATCTCCGGGGCAAGATTGGGAGCCCCCCCCACCCCAAGGGACTGGCCATTGTCACCACGAGGAAGCTGAGCCTGGTGCGCAGCGAGATTCCGAGGGCCAAGCTCTGGGATCAGGGTTGTCATATCCCGGGTAGAGTCCACAGGTGATCAGAGTGGAGTCTTGAGGACAGGGCTTGTCCTCCGCTCTAGACGTGGTCTTGCTATCGACCAGGACCATCTATGTCCTCCCGGGACAGCAGTGCAGTTAGACAGGAGGAAGGACATGCAAACGCTTGGCCAGGCTTTCAGGCCATCGTGGGGCACGGTCACAGTGAGGGGCATAGGGCAAGAGGGGAGGGGCTGGAGCGGACAGGCCCCTTCCCCACGCAGCAGTGGAACCCGTGTCCCCGCACAGGTGCGACGAGAGCTGCTTGAGCTGTGAGGGCTCCAGCAGGAACTGTAGCCGCTGCAAGACGGGCTTCATGCAGCTGGGGACCTCATGCATCACCAACCACACCTGCAGCAACGGTGAGCCCTAGTGGCCCGGCTCCTGCCCTTGGAGGAGCTCAGCCCGCTGGCCTCTGGTCACAGGGAACAGAGAAGAAAATTTGGGGGGGGGGGCTCTCTGAGCAGGCGCACTGTGCACCCTTGGCTGGACCATCCTGGGACTCCTCTAGTCTCCCTCCCGTCCCTTTAGCCCGCTCACATTGACCAGAGACACATGCCAGCCACAGCCCAGCTCCTGCTGGTCAGTTTGTTGAGCGACTCTTAAAAATGATTTTGTTTTTACACTGTTCCCACTCATGCCATCCCCCCCAGGTGGCCTGTGTGTGGTTCTTCCATCAGGAGGGTCCTGACCTTGGAGGTGAAAGTCAGGAGGCCTGAAGGGCCTCAGCCTCACAGAGCCCACAGTCAGGGCCCACGTGTCCCACGGGGAAGACCCACATCTGTGCCGCAGGAGAGCCCTGGTTCTCTCAGGAGATCGGGAGAAAGGGCAGGTTGTGAAAACAGGAACTCAGCGGATACCAAAGATCAGTTTGGGGGAGTCCTTTAGAAGCCAGGAACCCCCTCTTGAGAAAGTCACACACTCAGGTTATTAGGGATCCCGCCCAGGACAGTGAGGTGGTCCCAGGCGGGTCCCAGGAATGGCAGCACGTCCTCAAAAGCCAAGGGGAGGGCAGGTCTGCATGGCTCTCCTGTCCCTGCCCCTTCTAGGCCTGTCCCTGCCTCCCCAAGGCTCCCTCCTAAGTTTTCCCTTAGCACAGCTGTCTGGACAGAGGTGCATGTGAGCACTGAGACCTCACTGGCAGCCCAGATGTTCTCCTGGACCCTGCCCCCTCCGCACTCAGCAGGAGCCCCTGAACTCCATATGCCATCTGTGCCACCCTGGGCTCCCCACGTCACAGGGATGGCTGCGAGGGCTGCCCCGGTTGCCACCCTCGCTCCCTGTACGTCCCCCACCCCCCATCAGGGGCGGCACAGTGGGATGAACGGGCACCCAGCTCTGACCCGTCTCCCTTCTCTCTCCTGGGACCCCAGCCGACGAGACCTTCTGCGAGATGGTGAAGTCCAACCGGCTCTGCGAGCGCAAGCTCTTCATCCAGTTCTGTTGCCGCACGTGCCTCCGGGCCGGGTAGGGGCCCCCGGCCGCCCGCAGAGGGCAAGGCCGCTCCCGTCCGTCCATCTGTCCGCCTGTCTCCAGACTGCGAGCCAGAGCCCGTTTCCGGGGCGGCGCCCTGCCTCCGACAGCTTTATCTCCCCGGGAGCGAGGTCCCCAGGGGGCATCTGTAGCACCCCGGCCGGGGGGTGGGCCCCCAGGAGGCGTCCGTAAGGCAGCGATGTCCCCTCCAACTCCGCTTGCTGGCTGCACTCTCCTGGCAGACTCCAGACGGGAGCCCGGGGAGCCCACGGTGTCGGAGCAGCTTCTGGGACCTCAGTTTACTGAATCTTCAAGACCAAAGCAGAAAGTCAAGCCACTTGGCCTCACACGTCACCCTTTCCCTGGGCTTTCGAGCGTCTCCATAGTCAGTGCCAGTCACGTCCAGCCGCAGAACCTGCTGTCCCCACGCGCTGAAGGGCCGAGCCCCTCCCCTGCTCCTGCCGCTCCCACGGCAGTGAGGGACACGGCTTGGTCAGGCTGCAAGTAAGATAGATTTGGAGGCAGAAAATGTCTGGCCACTTGGGACAGAGCATCTGTATCTATGTAGTCAGTGACTTTTTAAACCGCTGCGATGGCCGAGAAAGTCAGATTCCAAACCCTCTCCTTTGAGGGAGCCAAGCGCCCCTTGTCACCACCCTCTGTCTGTGTCTCCGGGAGTCTCATGGCCCGAATGTCCCCTCCACCCGATGCAGAGCCGTCTCAGGAGGGTCCCCAGGTGGAGTCCCGGAGGCCAACCCAAAGGTAGCCCGTGGCCGAGCAATTCCCGACCAGGGTGTAAGGCCAGCCCGGGAATTGTTAACCCCCCGTGTCCCGTTTCGTGGAATTGCTGTTCAAACACATGTGGCCTCTGCTCCCCGGGGACTTGTCCAGGTGGCTGTCCATGTCCGTGTGGACTGCGGGCCTGACGACTCGTTCTGCCGAACCTGTGTAGGCATTTTATAAGCTACATGTTCTGATTTTTACCGATGTTAATTATTTTGACAGATAGTTCATATATTTTCATTGAGATGCACAGATCTGCTTGATCGACTCCCTGTAACACGGGAGCAACATTTGCCTTAAATTTTGTCGAGCTTGCACTTCTCCATTGGTCCTGCTCCCCCGCTGACTGTCACGCATCCGACTCGTCCCTGTGAGCTGGGGGAACCCCGCGGGTGTTGATCGAAGCCACACCTCCGAAGACGAAATCCACAGAGCAGAACAGTGTTAACCCTAAATTAATAAAAGAGTTAACAGCCCACAGCTAAGGAGCCTTTATTTCTTTCCAGGGCACAGCGATTAAACGTGGGTGCCGAGCAGTGTGCAAAGTGGCTTTATTTGTGGTCTCCGGATCCATCCCATCTCATTATGTGGGAAATCTCTTTTTTTTTTTTTAATCTTCACTCGAGGATATTTTTTTCCATTGATTTTTAGAGAGAGTGGAGGGGGGAGAGGCAAGAAAACCCACATCGATGTGAGAGAGACACGTGGATTGGTTGCCTCCCGCACACGCCCCAGCCAGGGCTGGGAATCAAACCTGCAGCCCAGGTACATGCCCTTGACCAGGAGTTGAACCTGCAGCCCTTTGGTGTGTGTGCCGATGCTGTTAACCACTAAGGCACCCGGCCAGGGCTGCATGCGTTTTTTTACCTCGGCCTCTGCAAGGGCGGGAACTTGTACTTGCTGGGAATCCTTTGGCTGCAAATAAAAGAAATGCACCAACTAGAAGTGATTTAGGAAAAGAAACCAAAGCTGGTGAAGGTCGTTGTGTTGGGATTTCAGGGTTGACTTGGAATTTCTGGGAAAGGTGCAGCTAGCTGGGCCTTGGGAGCCCTGGGACCAGCAATAAATGTCACCCAGACCCTCTTTGCACTGGAGCAGTGTCCTCCTTTCTCCAGGGGATGGGACAAATGACAAGACCACCACCATCTCCCAGGTGAAATTGGTCCAAATCCAACCCCCGAAACAAGTTTTCTGGATCTGCTGCTCTGCCATGGTTGGCCTGCCCTGCATCTGTGCTCACCTGGTCCCACTAAGGGTGATCGGATCACCCCTAGGCTCACTGTTGAGCAAATAGAAACCCAAGTGCCCAGAACAGAGACGTTGCCAAAAACTGATCCTCGATGGGGTAATTTTTGTCTCCCTGGGAACATTTGACAATAATGTCTGGAGATATTTTGCGGTGACAACTGGAGGAAGGTACTGACATCTAGTGGGTTAAGGCCAGGGATGGTGACGAATATCCTGGAATGCACAGGACAGCCCCCACAACAAAGACTTATCCAGCCAAAGAATTTCAACTGTGCCCATGTTGAGAAACCCCAGCCAAAAGAAATGAAATCAGAAAATGTTCTCAACCTCATAGAGATACCCTAAAATTAAACTGCCCAAGTTTGATTTATCTACCTGTCCATGTGCTGAAGCAAAAGAAACCTATACTAATTTCCGTTTTAAAAGTAAAGCTTTTTTAAAATCCAGCAAGCTAAAGGGCAAGTAAAACCAGCTCTGTGGTCTAAGCGCACCACCCTGTGGTCCTCTCTGGAATTATGTGAAGTTTGGACTGTTTCAACCTTTTTTTTTTAATTTTAATATGTTTTGTGTGTGTGTGTGTTTAATTTTATTTTTGTTTAAAATATTACAGATGTCCCTTTTTCTCCCCAATGACCCACTCAACCCCGTCCCTTCCCCCTCCCCAGTCCCTCTCCCCACCATTGTCTGTGTCCTTGGGTTGTGCATATATGCATATAAATTATTTGGTTACTCTCCCCCCATCCCCCTCCACCCACCTGGCCTCCTCCATCCCTCTGACATTCGTCAGTCTCATCTATGTTTTTATTGATTTCCAAGAGAGGAAGGCAGAAGGAGAGAGAGAGAGAGAAGCCTCAATGATGAGAGAGGGTCATTGATCAGCCGCCTCCTGCACGCCCCCTGCTGGGGATCCAGCCAGCTGGGCTTAACTTTTTCTAAATTTGGAAACAATCACAAAGCGAAATTACAGAAAAGTTCCTAGTACAGAGAAATCTTTTCATGAACAGTTTGAATGCACATTGCCAGTGTGATACCCTGTTACCTCCCAGATACTTTAGAGGCTATTTCCTATCAACAAGAACCTTGTCCTGAACAGTCGTCAGCATTAGAGAACTCACACGCATGCATCACTACGACCCGATCCTTTGACTGGATTCAAATTTTGCCCGCTGTCCCAGGGGCGCCCTTAGCAAAAAGACCCAGTTTAGACCACACTTTCCATTTAGAATCACACTTAGCATTTCAGTCTTCATGTCTCTCTAAGTCTTCTTCCTTGATTTTCATGACCTTGAGCCTTTCTTTTAACGACTATAGGCCCGTTAGTTGCAGTGATCGTGTGTTTGAGGTTTCCTGGTATTTCTCTTCAGTTCATGTGTCCTTGGCAGGAATCTTACAGATGCCGTGTTCTTTTCATTGCATCCTAGGAGGTGATACAGGCTTTTTCTTTAGTCTATTATTGGCGATATTAACTTTGATCACTTGATTGGGGCCTCTCCCCTTCCCCACCCCACCCCTTAGACTATGAAGTCATGCCTGCTAGCGGATGCCCACTACCAACTACTGTCCAACATTGTGCTTAAGATCCCAGCCAAGCCGGCCGGTGTGGCTCAGCGGTTGAGCATCGACCTAGGATCCAGGAGATTGCCGTTCGATTCGGGGTCACGGCACATGCCCGGGGTGCAGGCTCCTCCATCCCCAGCAGGGGGCGCCCAGGAGGCAGCCGATCAGTGATTCTCATCATTGATGCTTCTCTCTCCCTTCCTGTCTCTAAAATCAAAGATATATTAAAAAATAATAATAAATAACATCTCAGGCAATGCACCAGAGCAAAAAATACGGAACTGGTACAAGAAAATGCAAAAGAAGAAATAAAACGGTGAGCTCGGAGGCTGCGGGAACGGCGCTCCTCTCCTGGACCCGGCGGCAGGGGCAGGTGTGGTCGCTCGTCCCGTTGCAGGCTCCTGATCTGTGCGCTTTTCTCTATGTCCTGCGTCAATATAAATATTGCATCGTCTGAAGACTAGCGGAGGAGCCATAAATCCGACCGTGCCCGGGGCCTGGCCGGGAGCGGGTGGCGCACGTGGTAGCCCGGGGCCCGGAACCCAGAACCGGGCAGGGATCGGGAGCCCTGGACCCCGCGGTTGCCCCAGTCCCAGGTGGAGTGAGGACAGTGACAGCTTTCCTGTCCCCCGCAGGGCGCGAGGACGTGACATTCTCCTTAACTAGCGATACAAATGGCTGGGATCGGGGGCCCTCCAGGCTCCAGATGCGCCCCGGGAAGGCAGCCGGGACCCGGGGGACCCCCGCCGAGGCGCGCGCGGACCGCAGAGGTGAGCGCGAGCGCGGCGCTTCGATTGCTTCGGCCTGGGCAGCGCGCGCATGCGCCGGCTCGATTG